GCCCACAACCTGGGCATGTGCCCTGACCGGGAATTGAACCAGTTACCTCTTGGTGCAGGGTCGACGCTCAACCACTGAGTCACACCAGCCGGGCCTTTTCTTGTGTTTTAAATTGCATATAAAGAGTGCCCTTTGAGGACTTGCTTTTTTTTGTTTGTTTAATCCTCACCCGAGGACATTTTTGCACTCATCTTCAGACAGAGAGGGAGGAAGAGAGAGAGAAACAATGACGAGAGAGAGAGAGAAACATTGATGTAAGAGAGACACATCGAGTGGCCGCCACCCACACGACCCCAACCGGGGCCAGGGACAAACCGCAACCAAGGTACGTGCCCTTAGCGGGAACCGAACCCAGGACTCTCTGGTCTGCAGGCCGACGCTCTAACCGCTGAGCCAAACCGGCCAGGGCGGGGCTTGCTTTTTTAATTCAACAGTTAATTTGTACGCCTTGATTTATCCATTGTAACAGCTATATCATATTCCATTGTTCAAATAAACCAAAGCTTATTCCTACCCCATAGACGGGCCATGTGGTTCTTTCTGGTTTTCGACAGCACGCAATCCGAGGTGAGCCTGTGTATACATTTCCCTGCGCACCAGGGCTAGGGTTGTTCTAGACCGCCGGGCTGCACTGTGATTTAATTTTGCTCAGGACCTTAATCACGGGCTCCAAACTTTATCTGAATGTTTTTGCAAGACAAAATGTGGACGGGATGAAAGTGCTAGACGAGCAATCAGAACACGTTGTCCATCTCGCGCACGGCTTCATGGGGGTTTCCCTGGAAGAGAGACCATGCGAGCGGCCAGGTGAGGACGGAGCGCCAGGACCAGGGCCCACGGGGTTGTGGTCATCACCTGACATCCGTGCTTGGCTCCGCTGTCTGTGTAAGACCACAGGGAGAGCGTCAGGGGGGACCATCGAGGGGACCCTTGCAAGCCTGTGCAAAGGGGGGCTTGTGCCGGCTTCTTTTCACACAGGGTCAGCTGGTGTGTCAGCCCACACTGAGCAGCGGGTGTGGCCCTGGTTAGGAAACGGAGTCCTGGCTCTGAGCTAGTGACGTCGGAGAGCCGAGGACCAGGAGGCACAATGAGGACGGCCCCCTTGCCACCGTGTGGCTTTCTGGGTGTTTCTTAGCACTTCCTTAAAACATGGCTTCCTCCCTGGCCGGTTTGGCTCAGCGGTTAGAGCGTCGGCCTGTGGTCTGGAGAGACCCGGGTTCGGTTCCCGCTGAGGGCACGTACCTCGGTTGCAGTTTGTCCCCGGCCCTGGTTGGGTCGAGCTGGTGGCAGCCACTTGATGTGTCCCGTTCACGTCGATCTCTCTCTCTCCCTCCCACTCTATCTGAACAAAAAATGGAAAAATGTCCTTGGTGAGGATAAAAAAAACAAAAAACATGGCTTCCTTCAAAGCCCAGGTGGCGGCTGTCTTTCTTTGATCAGCAATTTTGCTTCTTAGCTTGAGGGCTACCACCTAGAGGCTTCCGGGCAAACTCCGTCATGAAGACTTTTAACTGTGAGCCGCTTTTGTAGGGGTTTGGCAGAGGCTCCTCGCAAGAGGGGGTCATCCTTGCCCTTCGACTTGAAGTGATGGGCGCCGGTGAGGGTTGGTGGTGAGTGTGCGCGTCCAGATGGGTGCTGGTTCCCCTCCTGACCAGTGTCCATCTCCACCCTCCTGCAGACCCATTGCAGTTTTGGTTCCCAACCCCTCCCCTCCTCAGCACAAGGCGGGATACCAGGCACAGGTCAAGGGAGACATCAAGGTCAAGAGCAACAAAAGCCTGTTCTTTCTAAGAGTTGATCAGGGAGGGCTGGCTTCATTTGGGGAGGAGGGGGTCTTGTGAAGCTTCGTTTCTGCCCGGTGCTGCGGTCGGTGGGCTGGCGAATGTTGGTTTACACAGAACACGGGTGTGCATGGTCTCTGCAAAGCACGCTGACTATCACCCGAGCACACGAAAGCAGACACGCTCCACTGAGCTGCTCCACGGAGCCCCAGCGGATGGGGCTTTTCTGTTCTTGAAACCGGGGTGAGTTTTACTGCCTTACTTAATAAGGTCTTCGTGTCATCTGCTTGCATTTTCAGGCTCACAGATGTCAGAGATGTGCAGAACACGGGGTCCCACACCGACCCCCCCTGTTCTAGCCCAGTGAATGGCCTGCCTCATGCTGCTTCCTGCTCTGGTCCTGGTCCCGGGCACTGCCCCTTTGCTGTGCGGCCCAGGTGAGTGCCTGGGAGACACACCATCCTGTCTGGTCCTGGTCCTGGGCACTGCCCCTTGCTGTGCGGCCCAGGTGAGCACCTGGGAGACACACCATCCTGTCTGGTCCTGGTCCTGGGCACTGCCCCTTGCTGTGCGGCCCAGGTGAGCGCCTGGGAGACACACCATCCTGTCTGGTCCTGGTCCTGGGCACTGCCCCTTGCTGTGCGGCCCAGGTAAGTGCCTGGGAGACACACCATCCTGTCTGGTCCCGGGCACTGCCCCTTGCTGTGCGGCCCAGGTGAGCACCTGGGAGACACACCATCCTGTCTGGTCCTGGTCCCGGGCACTGCCCCCTTGCTGTGCGGCCCAGGTGAGCGCCTGGGAGACACACCATCCTGTCTGGTCTGGTCCTGGGCACTGCCCCTTGCTGTGCGGCCCAGGTGAGCGCCTGGGAGACACACCATCCTGTCTGGTCCTGGTCCTGGGCACTGCCCCTTGCTGTGCGGCCCAGGTGAGTGCCTGGGAGACACACCATCCTCTCTGGTCTGGTCCTGGGCACTGCCCCTTGCTGTGCGGCCCAGGTGAGCACCTGGGAGACACACCATCCTGTCTGGTCCTGGTCCTGGGCACTGCCCCTTGCTGTGCGGCCCAGGTGAGTGCCTGGGAGACACACCATCCTGTCTGGTCCTGGTCCCGGGCTCTGCCCCTTGCTGTGCGGCCCAGGTGAGTGCCTGGGAGACACACCATCCTGTCTGGTCCCGGGCACTGCCCCTTGCTGTGCGGCCCAGGTGAGCGCCTGGGAGACACACCATCCTGTCTGGTCCCGGGCACTGCCCCTTGCTGTGCGGCCCAGGTGAGCGCCTGGGAGACACACCATCTTCTCTGGTCCCGGGCACTGCCCCTTGCTGTGCGGCCCAGGTGAGCGCCTGGGAGACACACCATCCTCTCTGGTCCCGGGCTCTGCCCCCTTGCTGTGCGGCCCAGGTGAGCGCCTGGGAGACACACCATCCTCTCTGGTCCTGGGCACTGCCCCCTTGCTGTGCGGCCCAGGTGAGCGCCAGGGAGACACACCATCCTGTCTGGTCCTGGTCCCGGGCACTGCCCCTTGCTGTGCGGCCCAGGTGAGAGCCTGGGAGACACACCATCCTCTCTGGTCTGGTCCTGGTCACTGCCCCTTGCTGTGCGGCCCAGGTGAGCGCCTGGGAGACACACCATCCTCTCTGGTCCTGGTCCCGGGCTCTGCCCCTTGCTGTGCGGCCCAGGTGAGCGCCTGGGAGACACACCATCCTCTCTGGTCCCGGGCACTGCCCCTTGCTGTGCGGCCCAGGTGAGCGCCTGGGAGACACACCATCCTCTCTGGTCCCGGGCTCTGCCCCCTTGCTGTGCGGCCCAGGTGAGCGCCTGGGAGACACACCATCCTCTCTGGTCCTGGGCACTGCCCCCTTGCTGTGCGGCCCAGGTGAGCGCCTGGGAGACACACCATCCTGTCTGGTCCTGGTCCCGGGCACTGCCCCTTGCTGTGCGGCCCAGGTGAGAGCCTGGGAGACACACCATCCTCTCTGGTCTGGTCCTGGTCACTGCCCCTTGCTGTGCGGCCCAGGTGAGCGCCTGGGAGACACACCATCCTCTCTGGTCCTGGTCCCGGGCTCTGCCCCTTGCTGTGCGGCCCAGGTGAGCACCTGGGAGACACACCATCCTCTCTGGTCCCGGGCACTGCCCCCTTGCTGTGCGGCCCAGGTGAGCACCTGGGAGACACACCATCCTCTCTGGTCCCGGGCACTGCCCCTTGCTGTGCGGCCCAGGTGAGCACCTGGGAGACACACCATCCTCTCTGGTCCCGGGCACTGCCCCTTGCTGTGCAGCCCAGGTGAGCGCCTGGGAGACACACCATCCTCTCTGGTCCTGGTCCCGGGCACTGCCCCTTGCTGTGCGGCCCAGGTGAGCGCCTGGGAGACACACCATCCTCTCTGGTCCTGGTCCCGGGCACTGCCCCTTGCTGTGCGGCCCAGGTGAGCGCCTGGGAGACACACCATCCTGTCTGGTCCGCACCGCCTGCTCCTGCTCCTGGTCTGCCGGCATCTTTGCAGCCTCCCCACCTTCTACGCGCAGTGGGCAGCACCCCACCTGGGAGAAGCAGAGATCCCCATGGAGCCCTGGGGCTCACCCAGTGACGGGGTGTCCAGAGGCCTCGGGGTGCCTGGGCTGGACTCCTGGTGGCCTGGCCAGACCCTGCGCTCAGCGGGGACGAGCAAACCTAGGTTCCGCCAGCACATCTTTGCAGACCTGTTGGGTTTGTGGGGGCGCGGCCGGCACGTCACCTTCCCCACAATTTGCTCGGAGTCCTAGGACCTGCCCCTCCCCAGGTGCCCAGAGGTGATCCTGATCCTCCAGGAGGGCCCCCCAGCCCACACAGAGCTCCCCCAGACATACGGCAGAGAGCAATGAGAGGCACGGGTCCAGCGGCGGGGAGCTAGGGGGAGGTCTCATTGTAGGGGAAGGGAGCACAAAACCCCATAACTCTGGGGCTGGGGGGCACCACATGGCCAGAGGATTGATACAGCTCACACCCCGAATGCGTCCGGTGTGGGCCACGGGCTCTGTCTGTGAGGCCGGGAGCAACAAATGTCCGTCACACAGCAGGAAAGGGGGACACCTTTTGAGAAGGGGTGCAGCTGCAGGAGCTCTGAAGGCATGACACCCTGTCCCCACCCGCCACAGTCGGCGGACGCAGGAGCTCACCGACCAGCACCCCCAGACGATGGAGCTGGAGACCCGAGTCCTCCGTCCTGGCTGCTCACTCACCTTCTGCGACCCCGACGTGGAGCTCTTGAGCGAGCCCCGCTTGAAGGAGCTGCTCGCCTTCCTCTGGGAGCCCATGGCCCTGCCTCCTGCGCCCTGGTGGGCAGAGGCAGAGCCCCCAAGGGGCAGCCCCCGGCCGGTGAGGGGCCCAGGGCCTGCGACAAGGCCAGCTGCAGCTGGGTCAGCCCCCAGGAGCTGTGCTGGCCTCCCCTGCTGACTCCGGTCCTTCTATAACATCTGCAATCAGCCTTAATCCCTCCATCCCCCAAAGGTTTATAGGGGCAGATTTAGCAAATGGCGATTGAAAGTAAATCTACTTTGAGAAAGTGGTGGCTGCCCAGGGTGGTCAAATGGGAGGATTTGGGTCTCCAGAGAGGCACATCTCCAGGGCAGACAAGCCCACAGCTGGCGTGGGAGGCCCCCGTGCCCACTGGAGCACCCGCCAAGCAGCATCAAGGCCCACTCGGCCCATAGCTTCCTCCTCCCGCTGCCGGCGTGATGCCCGCTGGCCACGTGGAGGCGAAGGGGCAGCATGGACCTCTTTTATCTTGCTGTGTTGGGTTGCCCTGATTTCTACTGGGGTGCCCGCTGTGCCCTCCTATGAAAGGACTCAGGCCCTGGCCAGTTTGGCTCAGCGGTTGGAGTGTCAGCCTGCGGTTCAGAGAAAGGACTCAGTTCCTTCAGGGAGCAGGTCCCAGAGCTTGGCGGTCACTGTGCTGTGGGCACAGGACAGGTGCTTCCTGTGGAGCCGCTCGGGCAGCCACAGCCTGAGGTCCACATGGAGCTGGCCTTCCTCTTTCCCTTGGGGACCGGTGTCACCTGCCTGAGTCTCAGGACAGTGGTGTGGTCCCGTGGTCCTAAGTGAATATTGCAAGACGGGCAGTAAACAATGGAACAAGATAAGCTGCCGGGACCCACACAGCACTTGAGCAGGACTCTGCCTAGGTGTCCGGCTTCTTGGCCCAGGAGGCTGCTCCACCCTGGACACATGACCTGCCCGTCTTGGGGTCTGGCTTAGGAGCCCGGGGAACCCCACCTGCAGCCCCTCCTGACACAGAAGAGAAGCTGGCCAGGTGCAGCCAGCCCCTTGCTCTCACCCCACCTCTCACCACCCCCTCCTGTCATTCCACAGGTGGATTTTGAGCCTGTACTGTGGGCCCTGCTCTGGGTACACCAGATGCCGGGTCACAGCAGGCGAGCAGGCGGGTGAGAATTCCTGCCCCCTTGCAGCGCCTCCTGGGAACACCCTGCAGGCTGGCCCCTGAGTCGTCACTTTGCTGGGGGCCCAAGCAGGTGTTTCTAGAAGAAAAGGCGCCTGGAAGGCAGAGACGCACTTTTCGAGCGGAAGCAGCTCTCCGGAGGCACCAGCTTCCTGAGTGTGGCACCAGCTTCTCCTGGCCCCTGTGAAGACGGGAACACGCACCCTGCCCCCGTTTCTCAGGATGAGTGGTCCGCGATGTTCGGGAAGATGTGATAAGCTACAAGAGTGACTGGAGCCCTGAGGTCGCCCGTGGGTGGCTCCTCACATCGAGACTGGCACCGAGCGCTGTAAGAAGCCCGTGGCCTCTGCTCGTCCCTCGGGCACCCACGGCAACCGGGAAGCGAGTTCAATGCGAGGACGCGCCTGGCGACACCCAGAGCAGGGCCACCTGTCTCTTGTCCCATGTCGGGCAGGTGCGCGGCCAGATGGGCCATGGGGATGACTAAGTCCCTCTGCCCCCAGGTCGCTCTCCGGGACAGGTGACGCTGCCCAGCTTCCATTTAGGGGCTCAGCTCTGACCTGGACCGGCACCCTTGCCTTTAATCCCTATTTCGGATGCTCCAAAATCAGGACGCCTAAGCCTGGGGATGGGCAAGCGTAATGACATTTGGGCTTAGTGTGAAGTTAATTCTCCCCACTCTGGGGTCTGGAGACACCCGGCAAGTGCAGATGGCCTGTGTGATGAGACCTCCAGGCCCCTCTGCGCAGGAGGCCCCAGGCTGTTCCCTGTTCGGAGCAGCCTGCTCCCAGCTCCAGGCGGAACTCTCCTGCTGACTCCCCCAGGGCCTTGACCTTTTCACTGGGTGTTGCCACCAGGAGTCTTTTTCTTCGTTGGTCCCAAGCCTCCCCCCCCCCCCCCCATGCCTTTCTGCTTTCTGACAACTAAGGAGTCTACTTTTAAGGGGCAGACGACAAGTCTATGGGAAAGACGGAAAAAGAAGGGGAGAGATGGAGAGGCAGACAGACAGAAGGACGCAGGAGGAGATGAGGTACACGCGCATCAGCTGGCAAAATGGCAAACTCAGTGTCTTGGTGAAAATTGGGGGGGGGGGAGTCCAGCTGGCCCCAGACATGACAGACCCACGGCCGAGCAACACATCCTGCCCGTGGCAGACATGGCTGATGGATCACAGAATTCCTTCCCTTGGAGGGATTCCTGGCTTGTAGCAGGTGTCTCTCCGACACGGAGCCCAGGCCGCCGTAAACTGTGCGTTTGGTAGGAAGCTGTCAGAACAGTGACTTTATTCCGCCCGGTAAATATTTACATTCACTTCCTCAGCTCCGGAATTTCCACTTGGTTCCTCTGAACAGTTTCTGTCTGTATTCTCATTTTGTGTGTGCCTTGCTTTCCTGATTTTGTTTCGTTTTCTCCGAGTTTCTGCGCTGAGTTTAAGAGGGTTATTTTGAATCTTCGTCAAGTGATTCATAGATCCCTGGTTGTTGCTACTGTTTTCACGGTCAGTTTCTAGACATTTATTTTCCTCCTTTGCTGGGGCCACGTTTCCTGGTTTCTTCGTGTACCTTGCTGTTTTCTGTTGTGTTCTGCACCTCTGGAAGAAGTCACCTCTCCCAGTCGTTCTGGGCTGGCTCCGGACAGGGGAAGACCTTCTGCGGTCGCCTGGCTGAAGACTGGGGCCTCCCCGGTCCTTGTGAGGATGTGTTTATGGTGTTTGCTCATCTGACAGGTCTGCTGGCCCCTTTGCCCGGAGCCTGTGGTCTTGCTCCCCCTGGCGTCTGCTGCGGTAGTGCAGGGTTTCTGGGGCTGCAGCAAGCAGGTGGACTGCCCGGTGGCCCCCAGGCATCTCAGGTGTGGGTGCTGGTTCCCTCCGTGTTGAGTCAGGCAAGACAGAACCAGTTCCTCTGGCAGCACCCCCTGCCCCCCAAAAGAAGCCAGTGGGAAACTGGCTCCACTTTCTCTTTCCTCCCAAGGAAGAAGCTGCATCTTGGGAACATTTTTTTTTTTTTTTTGGATAGTGAGCTGCGAGGGTGGGGGAGTGGGGCGGGGCGGTTTCAATGAAGTGGCTTCGCTGCCCTGTCTCAGTGCAACTGTTCTTGGTCCTCAGCTCGCCTGGGGCTCTGTGGCTGCGTCCTGGGCTTCTAGAGCCCCCCTTCCGGAGCACATGGGAGCCCTGTGTGTGGGGGAACAAGTCTGAGGTTTCCTAGTCCACGGCTTGCCAAAGTCTCTCCCCCGTGGGCACCTGGTTTTTGTAAATAAAGTTTTATTGGAACACAAGCACGCTCATTTGTTTACGTATTGTCTGGGGCTTGCTTTTACACCACTGTGGCAGTCGGGTAGTCGTGACAGAGATCCGGGGACGTTTACAGAAAGTGTTTGCTGACCTCGGTACCAGATAAAGCACTGAATTGTCTTTTATACATATTATGGGAAATATGGCAAAGAACTGCCATATAAAAATGTGATCAGCCCGACCGGTGTGGCTCAGTGGTTGAGCGTCGACCCTGCACCAAGAGGTCACCAGTTCGATTCCTGCTCAGGGCACATGCCCAGATTGTGGGCCTGATCCCCAGTGTGGGAAATGCAGGAGGCGGCCAATTGATGTTCTCTCTCATCGATGTTTCTCCCTCTCTCTCTCCCTCTCCCTTCCTCTCTCTCTCTAAAATCAATAAAGAAAAAAAAATTAAAAGAATAAAAAATTTTTTTTAAAATGTGATCAGCCCGGCCGGTGTGGCTCAGTGGTTGAGCATCGACCCATGCACCAAGAGGTTGCTGGTTCAATCCCCAGTCAGGACATATGCCTGGGTTTCGGGCTCGATCCCCAGTGGGGGGCGTGCAGGAGGCGGCCAGTGGATGTTTCTCTCTCACATCAGATCTTTCTATCTCTCTCTCTCCCTTCCTCTCTTTCTAAAAAATTAACAAAACATATTTTTTTTAAAATGAAGATTGGGGGTTAATTTCTTGGCTGTGATCTTGGAATTGTGGTTAATGTTAAAAGGGGGGGGTTACCATTAAAAAACAATGAAATCTTACCGTTTGGGACAGCACAGATGGACCTAGAGGACATCATGCGCAGTGAAATAAGTCAGACAGGGAAAGACAAACGCCACATGATAGACAAGTACCGCACGATCTCATTTACATGTGAAATCTACAGAACAATATACAGACTGGCAGTTGGGGGATGGGTGGAACAGGCGAAGGGATTGAGAAGTACAGGTTGGTAGCTACCGAACAGTCCCAGGGATGTAAAGTACAGCCTAGGAAATATAGCCAATAGTATTGTAATATGTGTGGTCCCCGTTGGGCACTGAGCATATCAGGGGAACACTCTGTAAAGTATAGGGTTGTCCAGCCACTACGCTGTACACCCGAAACAAATACAAAATAATATTAAATGTGAACTGTGATTGAAAACAATTTTTTAATGTGAATGAGGGGGCTTATGTTTTAGGAATAATTTCTTGGGGTAGATGGCTGCAGGAATAGACCCCGGTGAATTACTCCCCAGTTTTGACGTTCTGGTCCGTTTCTGTCGGCCTCTCCCGTGGATTCTGGGCGTGGCTACATTACTTGTTTTGGCAAATGGGACGTCAGCAAACAAGAGACAAGCAGAGGCTTGACGGGCACCTGGGGCTTGCGCGCTCTTGCTGCTAGGAACCGCGGAATGCCGCCACGTGGGAGCAAGCCCAAGCTGGCCTGCTGGAGAGGCAGGTGGAGAACCAGGCTCCTGGTCCACTGTCAGACATGTGCATGAGGCCATCAGGGACTGTCCAGCCCCGGCAAAGGCACTAGCTACCGACATCTGCATGAGAGAGTCAGATAAAACCACAGCAGAACTGTTCACTGGTCCCAGCTCAGACAGTCAGCCCAGAGTCATGGCCGCATAGACCGCTGATGTTTCCAGCAACTTGACCTCAGCAACAAGGAATAGAATCCTGAGAAAGTCACAGATGCGCTTACTACGTGTAG